GCATGCTGGGGCTTTGCTCTGGGTCTCAGCAACGGGTGGGGATGGACAGGTACTAGGGAATGTTCTCACGCCACTGGATTTATTGCTTTATCAAAAATACGTTAATAACTTTAATTGTATTGTTTGGATGATGACTGATCATTTTAGTTATCGGGATGATATTTAGTTACCTAACGTGCTGGGGTGATTAAGTAGTCAATGTTAGTGAAATGCTTTACAGATGAGATGTTCCATGTAATTGGCTGAATATTATTTATTTTTAACTCAGAAGTACTAGTGGGTATTTTGGACAATTACTAGAATTACCATTATTACTATCCTGTATGACAGTGCAAACAGAGGGTTTGTCTGAAGTATTTCAGCTTCTCTTTTTATAGTCCTACCTCACTTTCCTGGCTGTCTTGCTGCATGGGAGTGGCTGAATGCAACAAGCATATGTAAACTTTAAAACTTTGTTCTTCTTCACTCCTGCCCATAGGTGTGAAGCAGTTTGTAATGCTGCCTTTTGGGAAGGACACATATGGCAATACTATCAACTTTGCTTTCTGTTCTGTGAGACTGTGTTGTGAACTTAAGAACTCTGATTGGTGTTCTGACAGCATCTTACAGCTAGTCTCTTCTTATACCCTGTTGAAGGAGATTAATGAACTTCAGTTCGAAACAGCCAACACAAATGCTCCACCGTCTATTCTATACAAAGCAAGTAGCTAAGTGTATAAATCCACATCCTGTGGATCTTAACTGCATGTATTCTTATCAACGATCTTTTGGTATTAGCTTACTATTTCATGCCTCACCCTACTGTAAACCTCACTTCATTGTCATTTCCTTCCTCAAGGCGCATGATCTTTTTACTGTGAAGGTATTGTCTGAATTTAGGCATTGACTATACTTACTGGAGATGGGTTAAATACTGCCGTCTTGATTTGGACAGAAGTCAACACAAGTTTGGCTAGAGCCTATGCAACTGAATGGGAAGCGTGGTCTCTAAGAAGTTCATCATATGGGCTGTGTCTAGACTGGCAAATTTTCTGCAAAAGCAGACGCTTTTGCAGAAAAACTTGCCAGCTGTCTACACTGGCCGCTTGAATTTCCTCAAGAACACGGACTTCCTACTGTCTGAAATCAGTGCTTCTTGCAGAAATACTATGCTGCTCCCATTTGCGCAAAAGGGCCAGTATAGACAGCTCAGATTTGTTTTGCGCAAAAAAGCCCCGATCGTGAAAATGGCGATCAAGGCTTTTTTGTGCAAAAGCGCGTCTAGATTGGCACGGACGCTTTTCCGCAAAAAGTGCTTTTGCGGAAAAGCGTCCGTGCCAATTTAGACGCTCTTTTCCGCAAATGCTTTTAACGGAAAACTGTTCCGTTAAAAGCATTTGCAGAAAATCATGCCAGTCTAGAAGTAGCCATTGTGTGTAAATTTGCCCAGTTGTCAAATTACTGAGAACCGGATACATATTGTATCCGAATCATGAATAAACAAAGTAAGAGGAATAGATATATACGTCACTGAAGACTTAAAGTTGATTGCACTTCATATTGTCTGATATTGTGGAGAAGACATACATCTGTATTTAGAAGTGAGCAAATCATTGTCAGTTAAATTCTGTATTATCATCTTAAAATTCTTGTAGTTTGAGCCTGAAAAAATATGAACCCAGGATGCCCTCTGGGGCATCTGCTATTGGCTACTGTCAGCAGACAGAATACTGGGCTAGATGGATCTTTGGTATGACCCAATATGGCCGTTCTTATGTACTTAACTTCGGGGCCATCCTTTATTTCTGCTATTAAGAGTGCTTGTCTAGGACATGAAATAATTTCAAAGTGAGCAATATTTCCACAAAGGCCAATGCAAACATGAATGATGAGGGGTGTGCACACAGAGAAGACAGGGAGTTCCCATATGAAAACTATTCCACAAGTGTAGTTCTCAGAAATGACAATGTTGACAGTAAGAAGGTGGATGATAAAGACATTCTGAGTAAGTTGTATAAGCTGACCTAGTGAAGTGTCACAGTAAAGAATCTGAAAAAATCTTGGTTTGGTCAGAGAAAGACAAAAGAGGTCACCCATTTATGGTAAAAACACACCCGAAGTCTCAAATGGTACAATTTTAATCCAAATAGCCTTTATTTTATTAAAACTATTAAAAACAATGCAATAAAGTATGTAATTAGTCATTGAGAACTGCTTACAGCCACTTTCCAGGACCATGGTAGCCTGGAGGTACTGACCCCTTCTCTCCAGTTGGTTTTGGTGGCCTGATCATGACGTTGGCAGGATTTGACAGTGCTCTGTGTTTGTCAGAATCAGGTCTTTGATACAATGCAGGAATACAGGTGTCTTTTAACTCTGCTTGCCTATCTCAGACTCAGTAAGAGCAGCAGTTCTGAACAATTGCCTCTTAAATGAGCAATGATACCTTCACACTGAGCAGAAACTTAATCATCAGATGTCCCCATTGATTTCAGCTTATGTAGCAAAGCAGTAGTCACCATAGGATAATGCCATATGCTGCACCACTGATCATGATAGAAGTTTTGCTATTGCCTTTAACAAGATGAGATAACTCTGTTAATAGATGTAATATACATTTAAAAGATACTTAAAGGATTGTCTTATTTTGATGGCTGTGGTGTATTTGTGTGCACAGTAATTGTGGTACTGGATTTGAGGATTCCTTTCCTTGGGTCAGTCATGCTTTAGCAAAATTTCCTTGAAACAAAGTCATTTTGCTTGAATCCAGTTTCAAGGCATTCGGCTTAGTGAGTTCTGTCTTTTGAGATGACATTGTTATTTTTTCATTGCTTAAAAGTGGAGAACAAAAGGTTGAGTTTCTACACTCATACCGCATATGGAATAATACTGTCCTTCACAAGTAAGCCTACTGAAGTCATGGGACCTCTTGTAGAAGATGGGCCTGATGCAAAGTTGAAATAAATGGAGGTCTTTGATTTCATTGGGCTCTATATGAAGCTCTGAGGTACTAGTCAGTGTGAGTATGGGTCTCAGAATTGAACTCTGCGTTATCATGGAAACTAAACTTCATAAAAATCCCTTTCAGCCCTCACAACTGAATAGTGAATGAGCAAAAGAAATTACCATCCAAGAGCACAAGAGAGCTATTAGCAGCCCCAAAGGAGTACTACAAACACCATAACAGCCAGTACAAAAGCCGTGCAGGAAATAAACCAGACCCAGATTGGTGCTGTTGCAATTAGAGTTAGTCTCACACTTGCCAAGTGTCATGTCCAAGATTGGAGCAAAACGGGGATTGGTAAAAAGATAAACAATACCACCGAAAACAGATGAGATTACTGCTTTAGTACAGAAATTACACAGCTGTGCCACTGGGCTGTTGTAATCACATTAGAAAAGTTAAACTAATAAACCTATAGAATAGTGATAGAAATGTAGCGTAATAAACCTATGGATGACATGGTGTCCCCTCTTTAGTGAGGACATTTACATATGAAGATAGTGTTTTCTATGTAAGACTGAGCATCTGTGCCCAATGAGAGAGCTGGAAGTAAAAGAGCTGGGATTGTTTTATGTTAGGACTGAGGTGCATTGACAAAGCAGCGAGTTGTGGAGAGCCTGCCAGTGTTATTAGCTTTTTTCCATAAGCACTCAAAATGCTTTATTCCAAAGAGGTAGAGACAAGAAATACTGGCAACGAGTTCAATGCTTTTAAAGAACACATTTCACTTCTCTGGAAAATGCTTTAATTAAAACTATGCTGTCTTTTGACAGATTACTGGGCAATGAAAGAGCCTAATCAAACCCAGCCCAAAATGGTCCCATGGAACAGTGTGGATGCTATTCCCATTTTATGTTTAAAGAAACAGTGTTTCCAAAGATCATATGAACAGAAAACTATGGGCCTGCTCCTGGCCCCATGCAAATCACTGGCAAAACTCTCATTGCCTTCAATAGGCCCAGCTCCCCTTTTATGTAATATGATTGTATTTTTGATACATATTAGTTTAAGGGAAAGCTGCTGCATTGGAAATCCTATTTGGAAATTCCTAGTTCTCATTTTAAGAGAAATCCATTTTCTGCTAGATATTTTTAGTACTAACTTCCTCTGAAGTACTATTACCTTACACTATATACCATTAGACATTGATATGTTTCCAAATTGATCATATGATTTCTAAGCATGGCTTTTACTGCTTTCTGAAAGGCTTGTCTGGCAGGAATCAGAAGGCAAGTTGTTAACTGCTGACAGCCTACAGCTTCTTTTCTTTGCCAGACTTCTTATTGATAAAATATTGAAACGTTTTACAGCTGACCTCCTAACAAAGGTAACTGCTTTCACTTCATCGTAAGACTTCATTAGCAAAGATCCTTCTTCACACAAGCCGCCTATGTAAATGTAAAAATGTATTAGTCTGCAGAACAACTGCATGTGTGGGAACACACAACAACTATATTATTGAGAGGCATTTCAGGGCTGAACACTGACGTTTCTCATTGAGACACTGATATTTTAACATGAACTGAGTGAAACAGTCCATATTTTTGCATGTATTATTTCTTATTATGTTTTCCAACTCAAGGAAGCTCACTATGTTCAGAAAATGACTAAATGTAAAAATTGCAGCTCAGCTCTTTTAGAGAGCCACAACCAGTTTATTTTCTCGGGAAAAACACCCTAAATGTAATATTTCAGAAATCTGTCTGTCTGACTGTCAGTGCTAAGTTTACTGATTTGTTGCCATTACTTATTTTCCTCCATGTTACTGTTGCCAGGCATTTAAACTGACCCTGTCAATTTTTAAGAAACAGCTGGTTTATTTGAACTGGGAATTTTAATGCTTTCAGTTCCATTAAATTGGAATCAGAGGAGGATTATTGTAAAAGACAGGAAGCAAATGTTCTGACATGAATTCAGAATCACACAGAGAGAAAAATATCTTAATGCTACATGCATGTGTTTAGTTTCAGTGGATCAGATCAAATCTTTCCTATATCTGCATCCAAGCTATTTGGCTGTGATCAGATGATCAGAATTCAAGGAAGCGATTGGAGAGCTAGCTGGCTGCAGCTGCATTGTAGGCTGTTTTCAGGGACAAGGAGCCACTGTTTTTCAAACATAGCATAAACATAGAAGTTATTTTGTAGGCTTCAGGATGCAGATATGGGTTGTGCTGCCAGCATTGTTTTGCTTCAAGCCTTTCGTTCTGTGGTACAGAGGAACTGTCCACATATTTGTAGACGACGACAAGAGGAATTATCACATGAAATTCTGCCACTGGATAGTGATGAGGAAATGAGCAGACCCAGAACCCTCACCATAATGGTACAGTATACTTTTAGCAAACAAACACTACTGACAGGATTATTATTACAGATGTTATGTGATTTATTTAATTTAACTA